GTAAAGTCAAGTAAAACCGGTAAATCAAGTCTGGTTGCATAGCTAGCAACAATTATTTACGTTTAAAGAATAAAAGAGTATACTAACACAAAGTGTAAAAAAAGATTTCCCTAACAAAATCCTTCTAGGACAACACTAAATTTATAAGAAATGTTTATGAACGGGAGTACAAGTAGAAATGAAATGAGCCGCGTCACGACAGAACCAACATAATGGGTTTGCGACCAGCATGGATCCAGACCAGCTTGCGCATCCGCGCAGACTGATCAGGATCCATGCTGTTCGCTTACCAACCCTTTTACAAGTAGAGAAACTGATAGCGAACAGCATGGATCCTGATCAGACTGCGCGGATGCGCAGGCTGGTCTGGATCCATGCTGGTCGCAAACGCATTATGTTGGTTTTGTCGTGACACGGCTCATTATTATATTTCTTGGTAATAGCTTAGTAAAGTTTTTAGAGCATACACGTTACCGATGCTGACTCATCATTCATCTCTTATATCCCCTATTGTGAAATTGTACTCAAAACTTTTAAACAATGAAAACCCATGGTCGTTCACTAACACTTTCCTTCTTTGTTCGCTTCGTTCTTTTCTTTAACTTAAACTGACCGGGAAATTTAGTCTTAAATTATACTACATGTAGTCTGGAATTCCTTCCCCTTTAACTACTGTTTGTAGTAAATGAAATCAGGGAACCAGACAAGAATATGCGATACTTTTCATATGGATTAGTTCAATTGGAAAATGGGGGGGGGGGGGGTGGGGGCGGAGATATAGTACTATGATTTACAGAAAATGAAGAAATTATAAAAATAAACTGTAAAGCAAAGATGACAATTATGTTGTAGTTGAGATAAAATGAATGACGAATAACATATTTGTTACTAAACTTTACTTTGTTTGTTCAATGGTCAAAGTTACTGACTTCTATGATGTCTTCGCCCAACTTACATTCTGAATTCTTTGGACTTATAGGTTATGTTTAATACTGTCACGTGTCAGTGTGTTTCAACAAACAATGTATTTCATTTCCATAGAAGGAACAAGTTAAAAAGGTTTCCTGTGTGGGAAAGTTTTAATAATTTAAAGATATTTCATTCAGCTTTTTTCAAAATTGTTTGAAAAAAAAGCTACCCCCAAAAATAAAAAATAAATAAATAAAAAAAAAAAAAAAAAAAGAGAAAAAAAAAAAAACCAAACAAAAAACGTTGTATCGAAAATATTGTTGACAATAATCGATCAATAGAAGAGGGTCTTTGGAGACCGGAAACCGTCGAGACGGAGGGGGTCGATTAGAAGGTCACCCGTCTATATCATCCATTTCAAAAATTTTAGTTGCACTTGAATATTCTTTCATATACCCATTTGAAACTACCATATGTGTATGAAGTATAGATTTTATTACCAATTCATAAAAAAACAAAAACAAAAAACAAAACAAAACCAAAACAACACAAAACAACAACAACAACAACAACAACAAAAACAAACATCAAAAAACAAAACAAACAAACAATGCAACCATGTACGGTTTACAGATCACGTGCTCCTCCATGTACCAAAAACAGGTCACGTGCTCCTCCATGCCTTAAAAGTAGCCGCGCGGGGTCCATGGAATATATGAACCTTTACAATTAGATCTTTCAGTTCGGGCTCGTACACAAAACTACGGAAGAGCATTAGTGCCAGATGTATGTTTTTTATTAACTCGAAATTTCGAGTTACTAACTCGAAATTTCGACTTACTAACTCGAAATTTCGAGATACTAACTCGAAATTTCGAGTTACTAACTCGAAATTTCGACTTACTAACTCGAAATTTCGACTTACTAACTCGAAATTTCGAGAAAAGTAACTCGAAATTTCGACTTACTAACTCGAAATTTCGACTTAGTAACTCGAAATTTCGACTTACTAACTCGAAATTTCGAGTTACTTATCTCGAAATTTCGACTTACTAACTCGAAATTTCGAGTTACTTATCTCGAAATTTCGACTTAGTAACTCGAAATTTCGACTTACTAACTCGAAATTTCGACTTACTAACTCGAAATTTCGAGTTACTTATCTCGAAATTTCGACTTAGTAACTCGAAATTTCGACTCACTTATCTCGAAATTTCGAGTTACTAACTCGAAATTTCGACTAACTAACTCGAAATTTCGAGTTGCTAACTCGAAATTTCGACTTACTAACTCGTAATTTCGACTTAGTAACTCGAAATTTCGACTTACTAACTCGAAATTTCGAGTTACTTATCTCGAAATTTCGACTTAGTAACTCGAAATTTCGACTTATTAACATTACAAGAATGGCCAAAGTTATTAGTTAGATGGTATAAGATATAGTAGGCAGTGCCTTTGAACGATGGAGATGGAGAAACGGATGCCTGGACAAAAACTTTTGAAATTTAACTTAAACTGGCATGTACACACCCGACCTAAAAAAAACAAGGCTTCCTTTAATTTGTACGTTCAGGCGTTCTTCAGACGTTGTATTGTATCCCATCTGTTCGGACATATCTTTTCACTAATCATATTCTTCTCATCCCTGTAAAAAAACCGATCCTATACTTCACGTGTGGGACATCTGAGGAAAGTATCGTGGCGTGGCCAAAATAGGGCGTGCTGAGGCCTTTGTCAAAATTGTTGGACTGACTATATTTCTTGTAAAATCGGATGCTTTTATATTATTCCCAACATATATATAACAACAAGTATCACTTTAATCAACTTTTATCAACACAATATCAAAGTATTAGTAAATAATGAATAATGTTGCAAAAACAATATTAGTATAAAGAAACGTGACGTATACACGCCAATTAAAACTTATTTAACACATGATATTGCACAGTTTACAATAGGGTGGGTTTTGGACTTGTTGTTTCTCCACATGATGGTTGTATGTGTGCTTAAGAAAAAGAAACACCCGGTTAACACAGAAATGTGGAAAGTGTGATTTTACACCCCCCCTCCACAAAAAAGCGAAGGATATGTTCAGTATGTGTGGACAGTTTGACCCTATAAAATTGTTCTGTTAAATAAATGTTAAAGGTGCTCTGTCAATGTGCAACAGCTACACACGAAAGAAAGTATCTTGAATTCAATCCTTGCTTTCACCGGCAACCAATGAAAGTCGTGCAATGTAAGTCGAAATTTCGAGATAAGTAACTCGAAATTTCGAGTTAGTAAGTCGAAATTTCGAGTTAGTAACTCGAAATTTCGAGTTAATAAAAAACATACACCTGACACTAATGCTCTTCCGTACAAAACCGTAAAGATGTTTGTTGATATTTTTCTTTCCAAATAACGTTTTATGAATTTCTATTTCCTATTGTTTATTTCGTTACGATGGGGGACAGATGTAGTTTTTATGCCTATTAGGTGCTTGTTTGTTATCAGTTTTAACAAAAACTCCAGATAGTGAAAGATTCTGGATTTGTAGAAGACTTCAACTTACATATAGATCTATATAAAAAAACGTTATAAAAAGAACAAATCGAACGATGAAGATTTATGCCAACCGCTGAATTTGTTTTAGCATGTTTGCTTTAAGTTTAAATAAGCAAGAGTTTTATAAAGTTAAGTTTTGTTACGTGTAATTTCAAGAAACTGTTTAACGACTGATTCTGATTCTGAATTAAAGTTAAAAAGTATTTAATTGAATTGAAAGTTTCACACAAATGTGCTTAATTTAATTTGAATTGATTTATTTTTTAGCGGAAATAGCATGTCAAGGCGAAACTGCTAGTTACGCTCTGACGTTCCCGCCTGAATTTAACGGAAGAGTTATCCTTGTGAACGCTAGCTATGATTCATCAAACGCCGCATGTGAATTCAAAGAGACGAAGGATGTAACCAAGACAACGTATAGTCTTACAGTGGATATTACAGACGATGACTCTAAACAAGATCCTTGCAAAAAGTCAAACCTGCAAATATTCGATGAAGTATGTTTGATATCAGTTTTTTTTATATTTCACATAAAGAGGTCTCCTTTGAACACTAATTCACTTCACTTGTTAGCCTTGTAAAAGTACACGAGCCTTTTCTAGATACATATGTTAATTGTTCTTATTCTTCATTGTTCATATTCTCCTTATTTCATTAAAACACTATCCCGTCATTATTGAAGTTTGCGTATCGGCTATATATCTAATTATTACAACTTAAGTTAACTTCGTAAACTGAATGTGATATCACTTGTTTATTATATGACTTATATCATTTAATTGTCAACACAACATGTCATGATACATATATATCTATCAAAGATTCTTACGTACAATTACCTATCAATCTCTTAAATAGACAACTTACGCTCTCCAGATAATTTCAAGTGTCTGAAACATATTTAAATGACCGAAACGATATGGCTAATAGTCAGAATTTGTGACAATATGTTCCATTTTTTTCACCTTTTTATGTCGAAATTTGTCATCCATTATTTCATAAAAAATAACAACACCCAATTTCCCATGTCAATTTAAGTCACACAGCATGCCGGTATATATTTTCAGACAAGCCGGACATTCCAGGCAATGATCCTTGTATATTACACAGAGCATTTGGAGACAAACATAGACGAGATTTTCAGAATGAACTGTACACACAATACAGAAAATGGCGAAGTGTCCATTGATGTAAAAAACGTTAATGTTGATAAGTATGTTTATTTCACATGTGTGTTCAGTACTTTATTTTTGTTTGTCATAACTGGTTGCCTGAAGACAATATTTGAAGTAGCTGATATAGTATTTGACAAACTTTACACTATAATATATATGATAACTATATATAATCAAAGCTGAATTTGTTTGGGTCTCAGAATGTCAGACAGGTGAAGGTTGTGAGATTAAAAACCAATTTTTTTTGTACAGTGCCACCAATGCTGTTTCCAGTGTTATAACTGTAGTAAATTGGCTATACCTTAATTGGGATTTGAACTCCATACCTCTTGCTTCTTAAACGAGCGTGGAACCCCTCGACCACGGGGATTAATATAAACTAACAAGCCTGAAGAAAACCACATTATTCTTAATTAGGGTTTGTAACCCTTATTAATTTCGAGATATTTTGTTCACGGTAAACCTGTTGTTTAACACTGATGTAAATAATCATGGAACTTGAAATAAGCATGTAAAGAATTACACAACATAAGAAATCTTCGACCAATCGGGGACTATTTTTTCTTCCCCGAGAAGGCTTGAAAATTAATGCGCCTGTCATTTGACAATCTTTACGCAGTGATCTCCCCTAAATTTTTCGGCGTAAGTGTACTTATAAAGAGAAGTAACCGCTTCGAGGAGTTCGGACTACTTTCGGATTTTGCAAATAAGCATATCAGTGTCTGAAATTTCGCTACCATTATTTGTTTGGTCTGACGACCCAAACAAATAAAAGCGAATTCTCATATTGATTTTGTTTAGAATAGGAGCTCAGAGAATTCATCTGACGTCTTTCGTGTAGTATTTTTCATTGCTTGAGCAATAAATTATTTTTTTGTGTGATTCCTTTATAGTTTTAAATAAAATGGTATGCTCCTTTTATCGTTGTATCTACTATGCGAGCTTTTATCATTGTTTCTGAATGAGAAACATCATTATTCAGCTGAGGGTTTTGAAACTTACAATTCCGTTAGTTATGTATAAATGTCAAAATATGATTTTTATACAGCTACTCCGAAAAAATTATATTTAGTGTATAACTGTCCCGTGTCCCATTGATAGTCTTTGTTTTTTTCCATACAAAATCAATTCCTGCAGTTATTGCTTTTTTCTTCAGGTGATTAATACATGCTCTGATCCCGATTTATCAAGTTTTTCCCCAGATTATTTCAGGCACCTATTATTTTTTCCTCTTTATTTCTAATTTAAAACTCTTGAATAAGGGTGATCACTCGGAAGCATAAATCACAACAAAATTAATTAAAAATTACAAAAATAATTAATACGTTCTTTTCCATGCAAATTATCATGTAAAATATCATATTTATAACAGCAGGTGTCGTAGCAGTAAAATTTTGCCCCGTTCTTATTTTCATTGTGTTAAACTTCATACCCAGGTGCCTTTAGTGCTTGTGATTAAATACTGCTTAAACTAATGTGTTGCATTTTCCGTTATGTCTCATAAAAACATTCAATGAAAAAATGGCTAAGATTTACAGTTGTTATGCTTTTAAAGGATCTTTTTCCTCACAATTTGTGGTTACCACAATAACTCCGAATAATTATACGCATTCTTAATGGAAGTCTACAGTGAGGTCCAAAAGCTTAAATGTGCATAAATCAAATTATTCGATAAATCAGTTTTGGCACTTAAAACAGATATGCAAACTTTAATTGAAAAATATACTGGTAATAAGAAAAAAAAAAGAGAAACGTATTTTGTGCTATTTTATTTAGATTTGAGTGGGAAGCATTGCAACGCTTTTCAAGTTTGGGTCATCAGTCATATTTAGAATGATTTCTTTCTGGACAAACGGAGTGAGCGACTGACCTGTAATTTTTGCACACATGGTATTTGTCTAGACCTACATCAAGTGAAAAATTAATCAAGTAAAATTACTTCATAGTCCATCATTTAAAAAGGTTTTGGAGTTAATGTTTGAAAGGAGATGATTGTTTTTGATTTTTTCTAAAGTTTCCTGAATTGCGTTTATTTTAAGGGATACCTTGGATAAAAATGAAGAGGAACAGCAATATGGACCTTTTGAATTAGCCATTACTGACGATGAAAGCACTCCTATTGATAGCAGTAAGCCTATCGATGTTGGGGATAACGTTTCCTTAGATCTTTATCCGCGTGCTAACTCAGGTATAAACTATGACAACTCTTATGTTTAAATTCATCCGTAATTGCTGCATTTAAACTCCGCTTTTCGAAGAATTGCAGTCGAACTATTGTCATGACCCGTCAGCACTGGCGTTGGGATTGGTAAACCTTTTCGTTTAGGTCCATTCTTTTCTATAGTAACTTAAAAGTCTAATCCCTTTACACTCAAAAAACTTGTTTATCGTTATAAAAGGAGCCCATTTTACAAGGATAGATACATGTAATACTATTTTTTACAAAGTTATTCCCCTCCTTTTTTCCATTTGTATTTCCCCTTGTCAACCTTTTGTCATAAACTTTGTAAGCCTTTTCTTTAAAAAACATACATGTTCACTTTCAAAATATGACAACATTCCAGAAGGGCAGATAATCCTAAAATTCATTTTTGCAGAAAGGTTCCCCTATTTTACTTATTTTATTTTTTCTAAGGTCAGTTTGTCAAAAACTTTCAAAGTTAATCAGTTCTAGCTGAGCTTGGAATACTTGTGACATTTCTATATTGGAATGCATTTCTAAATGACAGGTATCTGTATCATTTTTTCTCAGTTCTAACCTGTTTTTGAGTTTTTATTTCATGGTTAACCTTTTTGTTCAGATACATTTTTCAAAAAATATCAAATATATTCACTTTGAAATTGAAGTTTACTATGCAATTCGAAACGCATTTATAAGGGTTAGATCATCCTGAAAGCTACTTTTGCTTTGTTGATTCTTTTTTTCTTACTTAAAATATTGCCGTTTTCTAAGAAAAAGTATTTCCTTCAAATTTGAAATATTTGTCAATTATCAAAGGCAGTCAATTCTGGTAAGCTTATTTGTAGCAATATACCCTTCGTTAAGGTTAAAGAAAAACAACAATAAGAAAAGTGGAGCTGCTGTCCGCAGACAGGTCTTGCTTGAATATATTATATGAAATGAACTGCATCTGTATTTTCGGCAGGGTGTTGAAAATCTTTAAATGGACCTTAAGTTTAAAGACATGTGTGCTTAAAACTTTTTGCCATACTTTTAGAGTTGTTAAAAGAATCAAATTCGTTGAAGAACTATGGTTGCCATGGCAACCAAAAGAGTTTCTTTCAAAAACCAGAAAGCATAGAGCCTTCATATTTGGTATGTTAAATAAGCAAGTGATCTTCTACAAAGATGATTCAAATTATGACCCTAGGACTAAAAGGAGCCCCGCCAGGGTGCTCATTAGTTTTATATAAAGTTATAGAGAGAAATCTTAGAAAATCTTCTTGTCAAAATCCACAAAGCCTAGATCCTTGATTTTTGGTGTGTAACATCATGAAGTGGTCCTCTACAAAGATTGTTCAAATTATGCCCCTACGGTTTAGAGGGGCCCCGTCATGGGGGTTACTCGTTTTTTTAGAAAAAATCTTTAAAATCTGCTTGTCAAAAACCACCTACAGCTTTGATATTTTGTATGTAACATCATCTACTGGTCCTTTACAATAATTGTTCAAATTATGCCCCTCGGATCAAAAGGGACCCTGCCAGGGGGCTTATCGGTTTTATATAAAGTTAAATAGGGAAAATCGTCTTGTCAAAATCCACAAGGCGAAGAGCCTTGATATTTGGCATGTTACATGATTTAGTGGTCATCTGCAAAGATTGTTCAAATTATGGCCCTAGGAAGAAAATGGGCCCGCCAGGGGGCTTATCGATTAAAAAAATTAAATTCTTCATGTCAAAATCCAACAAGCCTACAGCTTTGATATTTGGTATGTTACATCATCTAGCGGTCCACTACCAAGATTGTTCAAATTATGATCCCAGGGTCCAAAGGGTCCCTGCCAGGGGGCTCCTCTTTTTCATATAAATTTATACAGGGAGAATCTGTTTGTCAAAATCCACAAGGCGTAGAGCCTTGATAATTGGTATTGAACAGTGGTCTTCTACAAAGATTGTTCAAAATATGTGTCTAGTATTTAAATGGGCTTATCGATTTAAAAATTATTAAAAATCTTCTTGTAAAAAAACACAAGGCCTACAGCTTTGATATTTAGTATGTAACATTATCTAGTGGTTCTCTACAAAGATTGTTCGAATAATGAACCCAGAGTCAAAAGGGGCCTTGCCAGGGGGTTCCTTAGATTTTATAAAGTTATGTAGAGAAATCTTAAAAACCTTCTTGTCAAAATCCACAAGGCGTAGTGCCTTGATATTTTGTATGATAGAGAATCTAGTGGTTCTCTACAAAGATCGTTAAAAAAATGCCCCTAGGATGAAAAGTGTCCCTACCAAGGGGCTTATCGAAAATTTAGCTAACCTGTTATCCATGCCTCAGGTAAGCGACCCAGGGCCCAGGGGCCCTCTTGTTATTCAATTACGACCTGCGTCTGTCTTTATGTTCTTATTTAAATATGACTCCATGGTTTATCTATTGCTCGGTCCCTGCTCTTTGTCATAATAACATTCTTCTTGTTTCTATTTGCGTGAGAAATAGGTACATATAAAATCATTTAAAGGACTTTTTATCTATTTTTTTTTTCAGGATATACCAAAGTGTTTTTTCATACTTGCATTGCCAACAATACCTTGGAAGGCCCAGATAACAGAACACTGCAGTTTCTTTATAAAGGGTAAGCTTCTTATCTTACACTGATCCACAGATTTAAATAGTAATTTGTAATGAATGAAACCTGAATAAAATCTGTTATATCCTATCATTTTTGACGTATAACATATATTACATACAGTAAAATATTTTGTTTTATGTCACAAGAGTCAGTGAAAACGTAAAGTTATATAAGTGTTTTATTCCACACCTTAAAACAAAATAACCAATGCGTTTGCTCCATATGAAGTTCCAACAGAAATCATTATTAGGTTCAGTCTTATCAATTTAGACTCGTTTTCATTTCTAGAGTCCAAAAAGCCCGTTTCAAAACCATATCACACTAATACAGAATTGCATTCAATTCTGTAGCCCAAAAGGCTAACATTTGATTAATATTTCATGGTTTTCAATCTAAAAGACCAATGTTTCTTAATAAAATGCCTATCAAACTCCATCAAACTCCATCTAGTGTCGTTTTCCTTTTTTTGAGTCCAAAAAGCACACGAAATCCTTTTTTGATTTGATCAAGCCAAGGTATACCAAACCGTCAAGAAATGGTGATGTGAAATGAAGAGTTTATGAGACATGCTTTAGAACAATACTAATTCTGTTTGACTCATACACTGCAGTTAAACTATATAAGGCTCGGCTTTCGCCTCGTTCAACACAGTTTTGTCAGCTGGTCATTCGTCAAATAGAAATCTGTATTGTACCGAAAATGTATCATTTACCTATATTATATTTTAGTAAAAAATATTTATCAATTTGATAAATACTCTGCCATTACACTTATTTTTTCCACATGGTTCAAATTGTGATCAGAAATATGTTTAATGTAAATATATTGATGTAATAATTTACGTTATATTTTTTCACATGGTTCAAATTGTGATCAGAAATATGTTTAATATAAATATATTGATGTAATAATTAACGTTATTAATCAGATAGTTTTTATTTAGATGTTCAACGTTAGATGGAATAGTCGTTTCAGCCAATCAGGTGTCTATATCTAAAGCAGAAGCCGAGGTCACTAAAAATGGCGTATCTGTATCTTTTAACGTCTTCAAATTTAGTAGCTCAGACAAAATCGGTGTCATTTGCCTTGCAAGAGCTTGTAAAGTAGGCGACACATCCTGTGATTTGGTGAGTTTGTTATCACCAAAAAGAAACTTATTGCACTTTATTATTATTTTCTATTTCAAATTGGTGTTGAAATTAGTGAACTGGCTTGAATAAGGCTTTTTTATGGGCCGGCATTCCACTCCATATCATTGTAATGTCACAGATCACTTGGGATGGTCACACAGAAGTTGTAAATCATATTTCGCTCTCTAACAAGTGCCAAACATACGGTTGAATTGTAATGAAATTTTTAGTTGCCGTCCATTGTAAATTCGTTTGTAAGTAAAAATAGTAAAAATAAGTATCACGTTATCCAAGGCGAGGGGTTACTTACTCATTGGTGTATATTTGCTTGCCATACATTGTACCGAATTGCAATTAACTAACTGTTTAATATTCCTGCCGTGGAAACAACGTCATCATCTCGTATAATATATGGTAGCGTGACAATTACGAAAAACTAAACTTTTGCAAGGGGCTACCTGGACTCAATTTTAACAAGACATGTCGTGTATAATTATCTTTCGAAATGTTTGTATTTTCAATAACTGCCGGTATCTATAAGCATAAAATATTTCAAACAGAGCAATCCAAGATGGTAACTAATATGGCCGCCAAAAATATGAAAAAATGTCTTAAGAATTGTTAAGATAATTATAATTGCAATTCAAATTAAAGAAACATTAGACTTTTCGGTTTTTTCTTCACAGTTCTACCTTTGCTGCCTTTAAAAGATATTTCTACATTGAAACAGCTACTAAAATGCATTTTGACATTTGATACTAGAAAAGAACGGAAGCATATATTTTATCATCATGTACTTATAATTAAATAAAAGAATGAAAGTGGTGTTTCCATATTTCTGCAGCCATCTAAGACGCTATTTTAGATTTCTATGTTCCCCACCATTTATGTCAATTAATGCTGACAGTTTTGATACTAAAAGTATATAAAACATTTTTGTTTATGAAATGCTTTATTAAAATTGAGTATGGGATAAAGATTCTAATTGACCCCATAGTCGCCTTAACATTATATGACATTAATAAAGTTAATAAGTAGAGCTGATTCTCTATTAACATGTTTTTTCTATTAAGTCTATGCCCCACGTGATATGAATGTGATTGATTAAATAACATTAATTAGATTAGCAATTTTATTCATGATACTGTTTTATTTATAAACAATGCGTTTTTATTAAAGCCAACAAACTGTGCTGAAATAATGAAAGAGAATCCTGCGGTCGATGAAGGTGTAAATGGTGACAATGGTAATGGAAATGAAAACAATAATGAGAACGGTCAAAGCAGAAAAAAGAGAGCAGCAGAAAATGAAGAGAACGAAGTATCAATAACTAAAGTGTTCACAGTTGGTGGGAGTAAACAGGATAAAAAGAATACCACAACTGGTAAGATAAATAAAGGTTAAAGCAAAGATAATCTTCTATATAATATCAGAGAAGAGGTTAAAAACGGTTCCTACAGATCAAAGGCGGTTAGAATATTTGTAACTAGAACTAACGATATCCCAAACGACAAAATCTGTTTAGTACAAAAACCCACTAGAGCGACTTGGAACAAGTTGAAAATCATACAGCTATGTTTTACATTTTTGTCAGGAGTTAAAACTCAGATATAAAATCAAATAATTCATTAGATCGTTGTTTAGATAATTAAAAAATGAAGAAATTCAAAGTAAATCTGCACTTTTATCCTAAGTGCAACAACGGAATTGAAATATGATTAATTGTATTTATGAAAGAAAAAACAATAATTCTAGATTGTATTAAACAACTTTTGGAACGCATGTTGCATTGTTTAAAGCTCGTTTACCGACGCAGCGATCATGACTCACAATCATACATGTCTGCAATATTCGACTGATTTATTCATTTTGTTAGTTATTTTACTTAAACGTCTATAAACTAAGTTGTTTCTCTGAAAGATTTTGCATCTTTAAATGCAATCAAAACTCAGATAAAAATCTTTTATTTAAATATACAAAAAACAACAACAACAACATGCAAATAATCATCCTGAATTACAGCTGATATCTTATTTTAAAGTGTTTACATTTAATTTAAGGGGTGAATACCTGCCATATTTTCCATTCTCTTTATTTCATTTTAAGAAGGCTTAAGATAAGGTAATCTGTAATACAAACTTAACTGAAACGTTAAAATCATTACTGTACTTCTTATTTCCTTTCACACACACACGCACACGTACACACAAAAAAAAACAACAACAACAAAACACAACAACATGATAATGCTACAAAATGCTGTAAAGCTATGAACTTTTTCCGGTTGTTCAATAAACGACCATCACATATACAATGTGAAATAAACTAGCCTTAAATCTCATTTGTCTTGTAAGAGACATTTGTCCGGTAGCACTTTCTGCCTAGACACATTACATGTTATTTTCCCCAAAATTAAACAAAAAGGAAAAAAAAAACAAAACAAAAAAAACAAAAAACAAAAACAAAACAAAAACATGCTCCAAATAAGATACCACCTTATATTTATGATCCTTTTTTAATACAAGTGTTCAGCTCACCTAACAAAGGACCTTTTGTGATTGCAGTGTCCATCGTTCCTCGTCGTTATCTACAATATAAAACAAAACAACAACAACAAAAACACCAACATCAAAACATCAACAACTAAAAACATTTTAACATAAACCACTTGGTATATAAGACAGAACTTCATTTGAATACATAAAAGGCGCTCTACAAAATTGGTTTGACCTGATGCATAAAATAGGCCTCAGAAGCTTAAAATGGACTCATAAAATGCTTCTGTAAAAGAAATCTTCATCTCGTAAACTGAAATGCCAACAGTTGTTATATTCAGCTTGTGGTATTTTATAAAAATTATGTTAATCATATCCATGGTGTCAAAATTAGCCGCACCCGGGGTCACTTAATTTATATAAATCGACTTACTTAAGAGAATGCATTTAAGTTTTCTTATCTGAAACTTAATACAGACATTTGACATTTGACGAGTAGCATTGCCGGGTAGACCTTTACAAAAGTTATTTAAGACTTGTCCCTGAGAGTCACTTTATTTGAATTTGACTTAAATAGCAAAAATATCATGAAAACTGTTTTCTTGGAAATTTTAAATGTAATATTTATTTGTCTTGTAGTATTGCCTGCCTTGTAGCACTCTACTTATGTTAAACGGCCAATAAATAAATAAAGGAAAATTACCAACCAAAGTATTTACTTTATATGAAATACATAACAAGAAAAACAGTATGACAAACGAACTTGTTTCAAAAGCACCAATGCCCTTTGCCTTCACCTAAGTGACCGTAGATAGACCACCCTAGAATATTTTAAGTTTTATAAAGAGAGATATGTAAAAAAATCAATCAAAGTAGCATTAAATATCTTGGACAACACGCTTTTTCTCTAAGTCTCTATAACTGTTTAATATTTAACAAAATTATTTCAATACCTTTCGACATGTTTTATAAAGGGAAATAATTCAAGACTTAAGTTATGTAGACTGAAGATTATTTGACACTGTACTTCCTCTCAACATTGGTCAGTTATATACCTAAAAGGCCCCTTTATGCGAAATTTAAGAAAGTTTACCTTATGCTTTACGAGTAATCGACATTTTTTTCTGAAAAAGAAAAAAAAAACACAAGAAAACTCTAAATCTATTTTTGCATAAACTAAATCAGTTTTACTCTTCGCTATTAAAAGTAAATAACATTTAAATAGTTTTGCACTTTTGCACAGGACAATGTATTGGTAAAAGAAAATATGTTTCCAGATAATAACTTCAACAAACGAAATGCTACTATTTCAGAAAATGAAGCTGAAGAGTATGTTGACCCTGTAGAAGAATGTTTAGCTAGAATAGAGATCACAGCTGTGGTTGCGGTGTTAAGTGCAGTTGTGTGCGTTCTTCTGATCGTTTGCACCGTTTTAGCATGTGTCATTTTACGGAGAAGAGGGAAGCACATATCTACATACGATCGACCCGTTCTACAACCAACACCAGATAGATTTCAGATTCCGCGCGCACATGTGAACGAATCGTATGAAATAATGTAAACAAGTAGTTGCTTGGTTTATATTTCATAGATATAAACGCATGAATATTACTGACAAGGTCGGAATTATTGCCAAGAATTAAAAATTGTTGTTCAAAATTCTGTAAATATTCATATCGGTCAATCTTAAGTTTATATTAAATAATATTGTATTTCTTGCTAGAAATGTTAGCAGAACTTCTTTTGCTTCTTTGAATTATTGATTTAATTTTCTTAATTGTGTGTAGAGCGGTGATGTTTTAAATGTGTATATCCGAATATTTTTTTATCTATTTTAACCATATGAGCACACTATTTTGAAAATATCTAAAAAAATTTGCATTGTTGGCGTTCTTCCAGTAAGTTTTGTTGTTTCAATAGTTCTCCATTGCAGAGTGCAGCGATTAATTTAGATAAATTTGGAATGTATGCTTGCAAGAATTTTTTTGAGTGTGTCGGGGGCCGCGTCCTGTGAACGTTGCCTTTACCTTGTTTTTTTTGTTGTTTTGTTATTACCAGTGAAGAATGTAGGAGAGTCTTAAAATTCATGATAAAGCTTTTGGTATTATTAAAAAAAATGTTTTGTAACTAAAAACTATGTATATTGTGAACGTTAAAGCATTCACTCGGGTATTAACGGATGTCATACTGTTACATACACTGATGTATTGGATTAGCAATATTTATAACTCCATGATATGGGCTTCTAGTGTCTTGAAAAAAAAATGTGCGAAGGTGTGAAAAAGAACGCAACATTTATCTGAAAAATGTTTTAAACTTTTCACATTGAGCTTAACGTAACATTATGTCCATCCAAGTGTAAATGATGAGGGAACAGGTTAAATTCAAAATAACTTTATTTTTTGCCACAATTATGTTCAGTTTTATATTTTACTATGCAAAAAATAATCAGAAATCAAGTTAATCCATGGATCTATAAAACTCTTTCGGAATGTATCAGTAACGTTCAATTTTTGAAAAGAGTGGGGTAATTTTTTATTTAAAGTTTTTACATTTAATCCTAAACATCTTTCTTTAACAATTATTGGTCAATCACCATTAACAGATAACTACTTTCAAGTGACATCCCATCCGAAAATATAGTGAGTGAACAGGTGAAACTTAAAATAAGTTACATTTTGCAATTATTCCTTTCTATTTTTTAATTTACTTCGCATGAACGATCAATAAGTCACATGGCCTGAGGACATTTTGTTTAGAAATGTGCGTGACGTTATTATATATAAATTTATAAACTCATAATCGATTTCATAATATCAAGTGTTAGTCAATCAACATTATAAAGTTAGTCTTTTGAAATACATAGTCAATTCAGCTCAACTTGACAAAGAAAATTTGACCATAACTTGACAATGAAAAAAATAACCAAAATGTCACTTTAACTCTGCTTGACAGCTACCCCCCCCCCCCCCCCCAAAAAAAAAAAAACGTAACAAAAAAAACAAAAAAAAAAACAAAAAACAATGCGCATAATGCAAACTAATTTACATAACAATGTATATACTGGATTTTTTACTGTATTTAAGATTTCGTTTTCTTTTCTTTTAATGCATATTTTTGTTTCATTAGTATTTTTGTGTAAAAAGTACTTTATATATCAGTCATATGTAGAATAAACACAAAAGGAATATGTGTTCTATGACACTGTTTGTACATGTACATGTATATGATTATCACTGAAAAAAGTGTTTTTTCACTAATACTTACATACATGTATTTGGCCGATCTTTAGAAACAATGTTTAATGACTATCAAAAACCAAACAGTCAAGATAATGTTAGTAAATGCAAAGCATATATTGCATTAACATACCCATTCATTTTGGAATTTTAGCATGATTTAAAAATAACATACCGGGGTAGGACATTAACTTTTACTCCATCCAGTTTTACTATTTGTAAATAATAATCATTAAACTTATGATTTTCCGTTATTTTGGAATAATAAACATGGAAATGAATTGTAATGTTTAATTATTTTTACAAAAAAGGAACCTACAAAACATAAAGTTTTTTTGGTTGGTGTTGTTGTTTTGAAATCTCCTGTTTGTAGAAAAAGAATGCAAACCCTTACATATCCTAGCCTCACTTGCAAGACACCCAGTAGGGTACAGAACTAAAATTAAGAGAAGGAACACAGAAAGAAGCGGAGGGACTAACCACTGCTTTAATGCACCAACAACTGCTACAATTAACTCATTAATCATAATTATAGGAAATGCCACAAAGAACAACCAAAGAAGCTAATATGGAAAATAAAAGGAACGAGGGTGGAATTTAAGGGCAAGAGACCGGAGGAAGGGGTGGGGTGGCAAAAATGCAAATTGAGGGAGAATGAAAGAAAGTCAATTAACAAGAAAAAGAAATAATAACGTGTCATTACGCACGACATATTTGACAATAAACTAGGCTGGTATGTGAAATAACACAGAGGGTCCCAACACTTAAACGGTCAGTAGCAACTATAAGAACAAAGATCAATAAAAAGTTAAAACATTTAATGAAAGCATCCCCAACGACACCTGATAGGGCACAGAACCAACATGAGAGAGAGAACAAAGTTGGGAATTTGGCGGTTGGACTTACCAACCACTGGTTCAACAAACCAACAATTGCTGCAATTAAATAATCAATCAGAAAATGATAAGGCATACCACAAAGCAGCACAACCAAAAGAGCTGTTAATGAAAACAAGGGGGAATGAATAGAAAATCAATTAACCAAACCAGAATATAAAACACGTCATTACATGCGACAATACACACGATAGACACGTGAACATGCCTGGTTAACGATACAGCTACTTCGTTTGGAGGTAAACGGTATATTTCTCTTCCCAACTTGTGCATGTCGCTCGTGTCAAGTGTTGTCAATATTTATGTATTTCATAAACTATTCACCACATATCGAAAAGTTATGCCATCTAAATTTCCAGAAAATGTAAAGTTGTTATAATTGTGTTTGAAATGTAGCTGTGGCGGCGAAACTAAGTTAGCGAATTGAGCGTTGAAATGGACCATTCCATCATGAAGCAGATTATGTTTTTACTTACTTAATTTTCATCTAGACAGCGATTCAGATTTAAAAAAAAATAAAAAATCCCAAGTTTAATTAAAAAAAACAATCAGAAAAAAAAAAGGAAATCAGAACAAAAAAATAGTTAAAGAACATATGGGATATTTGTTCTACAAGACAGCTCTGTCGTGAACGAAGTAGTCATGTCACCAAGGATATAGTCCTATGGTTGCGTACAAAATATCTGATTGTGTATATTTTGTTCACAACATTTATCACGGCAAAAAAAACAACAAAAAAAAACAATATTATACTAATCTAACTATACATGTATAGCATGACGTAATTTGCATACTAAAATATTAACATTCATAACGTTCAAATTGTCATCCTGACCAATATTATTTTCACTGTAACCAAACTTTTACTTTGTATATGTGATGAAAAGCATACTGCATTATCTATATTCGTGTATGTTCAATCATAAAGGAAGTTCTGAACCTGCGCTCATTGAATATCCTTTTTAAGTTACTACATATATAATAATTTTTGCCACGTAACATTAAGAACCTTACTAAAAAATACATGTTAGGATTTTAACTTTTTGTACAAAACTTACAAAACATAAACGTAGGAAATATTTGTTCGTTTCAGATGACTGAATTTACATCGTGCATATCAAGACACGAGTAGTTTCGCTAATCTGTCGGGTACACCGAATATCAAAATCCATAATGTAATAAATATATTGAGATATTGATTTTATACGTCGCAACTTAAAATAGAGAAAATAAGAATCACTTAAGAAATCCCAACCAGGCAAAATCGAAAATGTTGCAAGCTTAGTTTGATTGAGCCTGTTCATGGACGGTGCTGTCAAATGCAAACTACCGTCCACGCCCCTAGCACCGGCTTAAGCAGAATACAACATTTTACATGAACTAGTACAATTTTGAATTTTGAAACATCCGCAGATGTGTTTATATATAGCGGTTATCATGGAACCTTCAATGTGACACATAAGTACCATTCCATAAAAAGCAGCATATGGTCCCCAAGTAAAAAATGCATGAGAAAACAATAAGCGGAACAAAATAAAATGGAATTTTGAAAAGGGGATCAGAGGTTATGAAGCCTGCATAACACAGATAAGACGTTTAAAGACAAATTTAAAAAGCGGGCCACATATTCTAAGGGTGATACAACAGTATTCAAGTTAGGAATACTGGAACCATCAAACGAGAAAATTGACGGAATAGAAAAAACTAAATTACCACAAGCACAACAGAAATGTCGTGCTGAACGATCTTTAAAGATCGGAAATATAAAATCTCTGATTGAATGTACGGGGCGACTTTTTACAGCCTCCGCACGGCACAAACAACGCTGATCAGTCAGATCGAATTTCAGATTTCTAAATTTCAGATCGAATTTCACGCGAATGATCCTTGTAAAAAAATTGCCATGGAAATATTTTAATGAAGTTTCAAGTATAATGTCTCATCAACCGTATGCGCTAATCCACTTTTTTCAATTTGATATACAATAAAATATTTGGTCATTTCCTTTCCGTGGTGTTGGTTTCGGACACAGAGTTGCCCAATTCTGCGTTTCTTTTGCACAATGCCTGCGTTTTTTGTACCACACTGCGTTACCTGATATTCAAGGTGTTTTAAAAGAGAAAAAAAGAAACATAGCTTTCTGACTAGCAGGAAACATTGTAGATACTAGAAAATGGTAACTCACTTGGCATTTTAAATAGAGAACCATATTTTCTCAGAAATCTTTGAAAACAATTTCACCAAAAGCTCAATAAATATTTCCTTTTTAACATGTGAATGGTTACTATGTGACGTTTCAAACTCTTAGGGATACTAAATTGTTTAGAGCAATGTACACATACTGTGTTCCTGTTAGATAATTGTGTGTGCACATTTGAAATGTGAAGTCTCAATTTGTACAGGGTATTCACATGTGTACAGCTTACTACTAATCCTGAAGTTGGGATAAAAGTAAGATCACTTCGTGAATTATGTATCAGGAATAACTGCTACCATAAAACAAATATTGTCAAATAGTTGATACCCGTTGTACCAACATTCTAAAAAATTTTTTCACCGAAAGCTTTTCACATTCTTTACACGTATCATTTTTGTTCCCTTTTAAACCACACAGCTATCTCCTTGGCGACATGACTACCTCCTTCACGACAGAGCTGTCTCGCAGAACAAATATCCCATATGGTCTTTAATAATTAATATTTTGCCCAAAGAATAAGTTAATAAGAGAGCCTTTTAAACATTTCCATGCTT